TGTAAAAATGTCGTCAACATACCTGCAGTATATGGCCGGTTTCAAGTTCATGTCGACTAAGACTTTTTGCTCGATGGTACCCATGTAGAAGTTTGCAAACAGGACACCTAGGGGAGAACCCATAGCGACCCCATCTACTTGCTTATACATATGCCCATCCGGGCTCAAGAAGGGTGCCTCTTTAGTACAAGCTTGGAGTAGTTTCCTCAGAATACTTTCTGGCATGTCAAGAGGAGTACAGGCTGGATCACGATACACTCTGTCGGCTATCATTCCGATTGTCTCGTCCACAGGGACGTTGGTAAACAGCGATTTCGCTGTTTACCAACTGTTTACCAACGTACCTGTGGACGAGACAATCGGAATGATAGCCGACAGAGGGTATCGTGATCCAGCCTGTACTCCTCTTGACATGCCAGAAAGTATTCTGAGGAAACTACTCCAAGCTTGTACTAAAGAGGCACCCTTCTTGAGCCCGGATGGGCATATGTATAAGCAAGTAGATGGGGTCGCTATGGGTTCTCCCCTAGGTGTCCTGTTTGCAAACTTCTACATGGGTACCATCGAGCAAAAAGTCTTAGTCGACATGAACTTGAAACCGGCCATATACTGCAGGTATGTTGACGACATTTTTACACAGGTACCTGATGTCAGACATCTGCAGGAGCTGAAGGAGGCATTTGAGCAGAGTTCCGTGCTGCGTTTCACTTACGAGACGGAAAAGGATGGGAAGCTGCCTTTTCTAGATGTAACAGTCATGGAAAAGGGCGGAGGTTTCCACACTGCAGTCTACACAAAGGAAACAAACATAGGAATGTGCCTAAATGCCAACAGCGACTGCCCTGACAGGTACAAGAGGAGTGTTGTTAACGCATACGTCGACCGTGCTCTCAGCCACAGCTCAGAATGGAAGCAAGTCGACGAAGAACTCTGTAGGGTAAGGCAGGTTCTAGTCAATAACGGCTTCTCCAATGGTTTCATCGAAGACATCATAAGAAGGAAAGTGAAAAGCCATGCAACCTCCGAAGAGACAACTAACACAACACCTATACCCCCTATTAGACTATTTTACAGGAACTTCTTTTCCACAGCTCATAAAACAGAGGAAAGGGTCCTGAAAGATATTGTTAATAGAAACGTTATCCCTACAGACAAAAATCAGAGGATACAACTGACGATTTACTATAAAACCAGAAAAACGGCCAGCCTACTCATGAGAAACTCTCCAGACACGAAACAGAACGCTTTAAAAGAGACTAACGTCGTCTATGCCTTCAAATGCCCACTTGGGGACTGTAAGCTCCAAAAAACCCAGTATATAGGCAAGACAACAACATCTCTTTCTAGGCGTTTAACGATGCATAAACAACAGGGCTCCATTAAGGAACATATAATCTCTTCCCATAACCAAACCATCGCCAGAGAAATCCTAGTAAACAACACAGAAATCATCGATAGATACAGCGATAGCAGGCGGCTTGACGTTTGCGAGGCACTACACATCAAGAAGTCAACACCAGCAATCAACAGCCAATTATTGCACAACTATATTCTACCCACCTCAAGACTCCGCTCCAATATAGAAGCATCAAGAAATATGGACCAATAGGCTTTCTACAAACACTTCTATTCAATATCCATTGTTTCGTGTTCTGTCTTGTGTTGATACTTTTAATACCCTATTAATATCCTCTAATGCCACATCATCCTTCCCACCTCACTCAAATGTAATGCCACATCACCCTTCCCACCTCACTCAAATGTAGATATAAAATCAGGGAAACGCAAGTTCTAATCAGTTGTGTATTTGTGAAGTCTTTGAAAATGTAATAAGTTTTACGAAACGCGCCCGTGTCGCGTCAGACTAGAAATAAAAATGAATTTTGGAGAAGTGATTTTTGATTTACCTCCAACAGTGAAGCATAATGTACGAAAGATTGAGAAAATTCGTGTTAGAATTATTAATCTTACTTTTTCGGTCATATTTAATAAAATATATATATATATATATATATATATATATATATATATATATATATATATATATATATATATATATATATATATATATATATACACGAGGAGTGTTGTTAACGCTTATGTCGACCGTGCTCTCAGCCACAGCTCAGGATGGAAGCAAGTCGACGAAGAACTCTGTAGGGTAAGGCAGGTCATAGTCAACAACGGCTTCTCCAATGGTTTCGTTGAAGACATCATAAGAAGGAAAGTGAAACGCCATGCAACCTCTGAAGAGACAACTAACACAACACCTATACCCCCTATTAGACTATTTTACAGGAACTTCTTTTCCACAGCTCATAAAACGGAGGAAAGGGTCCTGAAAGATATTGTTAATAGAAACGTTATCCCTACAGACAAAAATCAGAAGATACAACTGACGATTTACTATAAAACCAAGAAAACGGCCAGCCTACTCATGAGAAACTCTCCAGACACAAAGCAGAACGCTTTAAAAGAGACCAAAGTCGTCTATGCCTTCAAATGCCCTCTTGGGGACTGTAAACCTCAAAAAACTCAGTATATAGGCAAGACAACATCTCTTTCCAGGCGTTTAACGATGCATAAGCAACAGGGCTCCATTAAGGAACATATAATCTCTTCCCACAACCAAACCATCACCAGAGAAATCTTAGCAAACAACACAGAAATCATCGATAGATACAGCGATAGCAGGCGGCTTGACATCTGCGAGGCACTACACATCAAGAAGTCAACACCAGCAATCAACAGCCAATTAAAGCACAACTATATTCTACACACTTCAAGACTCCGCTTCAATATAGAAGCATCAAGAAATATGGGCCAATAGGCCCTCTGCAATTACTTCCATTCTTACCTTCAATACCCATTGTTTCGTATTCTGGCTTGTGTTGAAAGTTTGTTTTCACCTCATCCAAAACTGTTGTAACATATCACCTCACCCAAATGCAGGTATAAAAAATCGAAGATGTTTAAGCTCTATTCAGTTATAGTTGTGTATGTGTGTAAATTAAGTCTTTGAAAATGTAATAAGTTTTACGAAACGCGCTCAAGTGTCGCGTCAGACTAGAAATAAAAATGAATTTTGGAGAATTGATTTTTCAATTACTATCAACAGTGAAAAGAAACAGAAGAAAGATCGAAAAATTCGTGTTAGAATTATTAATCTTACTTTTTCGGTCATATTTAATAATATATATACAGTACAGGGGTACCTCGGTTTAAGAGTTTAATCCGTTCCTGGAGACTCGTAATCTCGTAATCCGAAGCTAATTTCCTTATAAGAAGTAATGGAAATGAATTAATCCGTTCCTGACCTCACCCAATCCGTACCCAAAAACCTCACTTCAAACTAAATTTTATACTAATTCATCTAAATAAACCTACAAAACTATGTTCCAGTTATTACTTACCCTTGCTGATGAATGCTGTAGGCGTATGGAAGATGGTGAGGAGGGGGGGAGGAGGAGAGGTGTTACTGTTTGGAAGGGGAGTCCCCCTTCCATTATAACATCAGGCAGTGAGGACATCTCTGGGGTGCATTCTCTGGCACGTTTTGCCTGCATACCACTAAGTCCTGGTTGTGGCTCACTGCTCGATTTTCTCACAACAAATCTATCCATGGAAGATTGTTTTTCCCTTCTTCGCAAGATGTCTCTGTATTGAGGCATCACATTTTCTACAGCTTTCTCTGGGTGAGTCTTTTCAATAAAAGTTTGCATTTCTTCCCACATCTGACACCACTTCTTAATGGTTGCAGAAGGGACATTTTGTACTGCCTCACCCTCCTCCACTGGAGAAACAACCTCAGCTGGGTCTTCTTGCTGCTCCCCCTTGTCTTCTTGTCTGCTTTTTAAACAATGCTGTTTGTCAACCAAATTGTATATTTGCTATTTTTCTGCCATGTTCCCCCCTTTTTTATTTTTATATTTTCTCAACACAATTTATACTTTAATCTCAATTAGTATTAAGTTTTAGTCTTCAGTGTTTTTCCTGTCCGAAACGCTTTGCATAATAGTGGCTTTAGGCACTGCATGTACTAGCTCTATCTATAAATCCATCAATGTTTGTATCACACCTTGTATGTATGTACTTTACCTGAATAAACATTTGAATTTTTTTGAATTTGATATATAATAACAACTTTTATGGTCAAATGGCCAAAAATCCAAAAAACACTGAAAATCCTGGTGAAGAATTCACGCGGGATAGTCACTGGGCGCGAGGCACTGGTAAACTGAGTGGCGATCGGCGCGCGACCACGCACTAGGTCGGCCTGTACGCGTATCAACGTATTTGCCTTCCGAGGCAAATTTTCAGAGCAAATCCTGCTTGTATTCCGAAAAACTCGTATACAGGGACACTCGTATTCCAAGGTACCACTGTACATGGAATCATGAATAACGTTGGTTGTAGAAAAAAAGAATCAGCGAATTTAATACATTTTTGACATGCATTGTTATAAATTTTTATGATTTGAATCTCTGTATAATTTGTATTGGGGTTTTCCCTATTACATGCAAGTTATCAAGCTCAGATGGTCCTGATGAATTTCTAACTCCTGAATGAAAATAACTTTAAATTATTCCATCCAACAAAATTGGATTCTTGTGTTTTTCTACTCTGTCCAACTACTGTACTTGTTTGATAGTAGTAATGGGTTAGGCCTATATAACTGGCATGCTTATTGAAAAGAAAATATCATTTGCCTAACCCAGCTACTGGAAGACATATTTTATTTATATTTCTTAAAAAGGACCTATATTTAAATATTCCTTCATTAAATCTGCAAACAAATATTCTATAGCATTATCTTATTCATAAAAAATTACACTTTTTTTTTTTTGCATTTTGGTTAATGTCTACAAAAGATCAGAGAACAGCAATATAACTTAAATTATTTCAATGCAGAGTTGAAAAACTTTAGCTTTTCAACTTACAAAATCATTTGTTCATAACCAAGCATATATCAAACACAAATACTAAGAAAATCAAAATACCTTGGTTGGAAGTGCAGCTGACAAGGCACTAACACAGTAATTTCAAGATGAATTTCACAATTTCCAAATATTACCAATGGCTTAGTAGGCAACATAGTTTGTCTTAATATGTATATCATACAATACAGTTCAATATTGCTAAACTAAATAACTCAAAGAGTTTTCACTCGTATGGACAATTTTGTCCTTTTTCAAATAATTTGCTTACTAGGTCTAGGACTTTTTCCTTCGGCCAGGGCACTAGTGAGGTTTATCACCCGAATGCACTAACTTGTGCCTCCTTCTACTATTCAGTAAACTAATTAGCTTTGGACACTTATGATGTTAATCACTTCTGTGTACAGTATCTTTCTAATCTTCTTCATACCTCCATGTTAACCAATTGTTCCCCGCACTTGAACTATTAATTACATTCATTATCCATATGCACTACTAACATATGAGTTTTCATATTATTACTCCACTTAAATCTTTTCCCACACTGTGAACATTCATGAGGTTTTTCATCTGAATGTACCAGCATGTGACTTATTATACCCCGACGTAGTCTGAATTTTCTACCACACTCGGCACACTCAAAAGGTTTAATGCCTGTATGCACTGTCCTGTGAGTCGTCATATCTGAAAGTTGACTGAATGTTTTCCCACACTCTGGACACTCGTGAGGTTTAATTCCCATATGCACCTTCATGTGAGCCTTCATACTTTGAAGATGATTATATGTTTTTCCACACTCTGAACATTCAAAAGGTTTATCATCCGAATGCACCAACATGTGACTTATCATACCACGACGTAGTCTAAATTTTCTCCCACACTTGGCACACTCAAAAGGTTTAACACCAGTATGCACTGTCCTGTGAGTGTTCATATCTAAAAGTCGACTGAATGTTTTCCCACATTCTGGACACTCGTGAGGTTTAATTACCACATGTACCATCCTGTGAAGCTTCATATTTCCTAGACGACTGAACATTTTCCCACACTCTGGACACTCATGAGGTTTAATACCCCTGTGCACACTCCTGTGAGCCTTCATACGTCTAAGATAATTGAATGTTTTCCCACACTCTGGGCAGTCATGATATTTACCATCCCACGGTACAACCCTGCGAACCTTCATTTCTACAGGATAGCTGAATGTTTTCCCACACTCTGGGCACTCGTGAGGTATAATATCCCTGTGCACCATCCTGAGAGGATTCATATTTTCTGGTTGACTGAATGTTCTTCCACATTCTGGACACTTGTACTGCTTCATCTTTATGATCCCAGCAGTTAGGATGGAAGCTACCTCCTGCCGATGACTGCAGAAATTTTAGAGAGGGCGTCTACTGGACTGGGAATTTTACATTACAGTATCTGCTGATATAGACCTGACCAACGTAAACTGTCAGCAAAATTATTTGCACACCCTCCGTCGCTATGTAATGGAGTGTGAAAAGTTTTGTGAATTTAGACAACTTTATAACAAATGTTCAAGATATATGCAATTATTTAATTCACGATGATCTACAGTACTACCATAAATCTTAGTAAAATCTCCCCAGTTTGCTAACTGTAGGTACTATATGTGGGTGACTAACCTTTCCTCTGGTGCCTACTGCATGTGGAGTATTGTGCAGGATATGACACTGGCTCTCCACATATGTCAGTTGCTTAGGTTAAGAGAATGTACAATACTTGTTGTAGGTCTCCAACTCACTGTTGATGTAACAATTACATTAACTTTTTTAACTAGTTTATCAAGACTGTAACTTGCTTAGTTAAATGAATTTCGAGGTCCAGTCCCTGAGCCTATTGCGTGCTTCTGTAACCCCCATACACTATGCTAATACGATGGGTAAGGGGTGCATAATAAATGAACTAGGCAAACTGGAGACACAACACTGCCGCTGGGTAGAAAAATTATGCCTGGGTGTTATCTTATACTTGGGGTGTGAAGGTTATCATCTGCAGATGACTGCGGGGTTATCCTGTGAGGTGAGGCGTCTCCTGGAGAGAAAACACTGCCGCTGGCTGAGGAATCCCGGCTGACCTCAACGACGTCCTCTATGACTTCAAGTGACCTGCATCAATCTTATTGTCATACGGATAATAGTATGCTCTATACTCTACTTTATAATAAGTGCAGTTGTTGTTAGTGTTGATTAATGAGCCAGGAAGGCGCAGGTGCCGGAACACAAGCAGCAGGTTGTAGCCCTGCTACTGAACGTCTACGACTGGACACTGTTGCCAGATAAAACTGATGAAAATCGCGACCTGACGAATTAAAAGAAATTTATTTATTTATTATTTATGTGCGTAAATCACGAAAGTTAAGACGTGATGAAAAATGTGTCAGTGTCAGACCACGGAGGAAGAATTGAAACAGGAATTTCCTTAAGTACTTTCGTATTTAATAATACATCTTCAGAAATTTCTTATTTATATATACAAGAGTTCTTACATTCTTGTAAAGCAGGCGATGAGTCACAATAACGTGGCTGAAGTATGTTTTTTTTTTTTTTTGAGATATATACAAGAGTTGTTACATTCTTGTACAGCCACTAGTACGCGTAGCGTTTCGAGCAGGTCCCTGGAATACGATCCCCTGCCGCGAAGAATCGTTTTTTCATCCAAGTACACATTTTACTGTTGCGTTAAACAGAGGCTACAGTTAAGGAATTGCGCCCAGTAAATCCTCCCCGGCCAGGATACGAACCCATGACATAGCGCTCGCGGAACGTGTTGACCAGACCACACGCTAGAAGTTGAAGGGACGACGACGTTTCGGTCCGTCCTGGACCATTCTCAAGTCGATTGTGATGAGGAGATTGATTGATTGATGAAGATTAAGCCACCCAAAAGGTGGCACGGGCATGAATAGCCCGTAAGTGGTGGCCCTTTTGAACCATTACCAGTATCAAGAGCTGACACTGGAGATCTGTGGAGGTGCAACTGCAGCTGCGTGACGGGAGATGTCTCCCGTGTGATGAGGAGGTAGAGGCAGGTAATAAATAGGCAAGAGAGAGCTGAGGAGGAAAGTAAGGTGTAGCTAAGGATAGTAGTAATAATGAGAACTGCATTGAGGATTGGTCTTCCTCCAAAATAATCTTTCCTGCCTCTACTTATTTTATTTTATTTATTTATTTTATTTATTTATATATACAAGAAGGTACATTGGGTTTGAGAGAATACTTTGGATAGTACAGTATTTACATTCTTGTAAAGCCACTAGTACGCGCAGCGTTTCGGGCAGGTCCTTAATCTAGCAGATAATTTTAAGTAGGCAATTTAAATTAGAATTGATTAATGAAAGATACATTACAAGAGAAAAATGAGATGAGAGAGATAAGTAAGTATATTAAAGCACATTGTTATATTAAAGCTCTGATTGATTACATTGACAGCTTGATTAGTAATTTAAACAAGATTAATAGACACCATACAGCAGATTGACAGCACATATAAGACAGCAATGATCACAATGGTAAAGATGTTCAGAATGGGTACATAAAGATTGGGAGACTGGGTAGCAAAAGATACAGATAACAAGATTTATAAACACCATACAACAGATTGGCAGCACATATAAGAAAACAGCAATGATCTCAATGGTAAAGATGTTCAAATTGGGAACATAAAGGTTGGGAGATTGGGTAGCAATAGATACAGTGCAATTTTAAGGCAAAAAGTGAAAAACTATGAAGATGAAATTAGGTACTTTTTAGTATTCATTTTGAATGATGTAAAAGTTGGACAGCTTTTCAATTCAGTAGGGAGTGAGTTCCATAAACTGGGTCTCTTTATTTGCATAGAGTGTTTACACAGATTAAGTTTAACTCTGGGGATATCGAAGAGATATTTATTTCTGGTGTGGTGATAATGGATAATATTACATCTGTCCAGGAAGAGTTTCAGACAAGGATTTGCATTTAAGAACAGGGTTTTGTAAATGTAGTTGACACAGGAGAATTTGTGGAGTGAGATTATGTTTAGCATGTTTAGGGAGTTAAACAAGGGGGCTGTGTGTTGTCTGAAAGCAGAATTTGATATTATTCTGATAGCAGATTTTTGCTGGGTGATGATGGACTTGAGGTGGTTTGCAGTGGTTGAACCCCATGCACAGATACCATAGTTGAGATAGGGATAGATTAGTGCATAATATAGAGAGATGAGAGCAGAGTTAGGAACATAATATCTGATTTTGGAGAGTATACCAACTGTTTTAGAGACTTTCTTAGTTATGTGTTGTATGTGGGTACTGAAGTTGAGTCTCTTGTCTAGGAATATGCCAAGAAACTTTCCATCATTTTTATTGCTAATGTTTACATTGTCAATCTGAAGCTGAATTGCATTTGTAGATTTGCTTCCAAATAGGATGTAGTAGGTCTTTTCTATGTTAAGTGTTAGTTTGTTGGTTGACATCCATAAGTGGACTTTTTTTAGTTCATTATTAACAACATCATTTAGTGTATGTGGGTTGGGGTTGGAGTAAATGAGGGTAGTATCATCAGCAAACAAAATAGGTTTCAGAATGTTAGAGACATTAGGCAGATCATTAATGTATATAAGAAATAGTAGGGGTCCCAAGATGCTGCCCTGTGGCACTCCAACGGTTATTGGTAGAATGGGAGAGATTATATTATTGATGGCTACACATTGGTGTCTATCACTAAGATAGGATTGGATATAGTCCAGTGCATGGCCTCGGATTCCATAATGATGGAGTTTACATAAGAGGTAATCGTGATTAACAGTATCAAAGGCCTTTCTCAGGTCAATGAAGAGTCCAATTGGAAACTCATTTTTGTCAAGGGATGAGTAAATTATTGAGTAAATGGTACTCTTTTGAGAGCGGAAGCCAAACTGACAGGGGCTAAGAATGTCGAATTTTACGAGATAGGAGTAGAGCTGTTTGTAGATAATTTTTTCAAATATTTTTGATAGTATGGGTAGGTTCGATATTGGTCTGTAGTTGTTTATGTCTGACGAATTACCTCCTTTATGAACTGGCGTTACTCCTGCTTTTTTAAGTATATCAGGGAAGGTATGACACTCAAGGGATTTGTTGAACACTCTACACAGACGTCGTCTTGTAGAATCGGCTCTTATACACAATGTACCCAACATGAACTTGAGTCCTGGCTTTGTTGCTGTGGACTCTTCCCTTTCACAGTATATACTCAAATGTTCTAATCTTTCTAACAAACGTGACTTAACATAAGCTTACCCCTTCCATTTATCTTTCTTTCTCTTTCCTTTTCTTTCTCTCCTCCCCTTTTTCTGTTCATTGTCTTCTCCTACGCTCCCTTGCTATCCTCTTCTTATTCCTATTACTATCTCCTTCTCATTCGGTGGTTATAATAGGAACTGCCTCTTATGGGCCAATAGGCCCTCTGCAGTTCTCATTATTACTACTATCCCCTACACCTTACTTTCTTTTTCTTCTACATTAATGACCTTCCAAATACCTCCCAACATCTCAAACCAATTCTATTTGCTGACGACACGACCTTCATTTACTCCAGTCCTGACCCCCTTGCTCTAAATGTCACAGTTAATACTGAGCTAATTAAAGTCCATCACTGGCTAATTGTCAACAAACTCACCCTCAATATTGTCAAAACTTTCTATATTTTGTTTGGCAATAAATCCTCATAGAATAAATCTCAGGATTAACAATACCCAAATTTGTAACAAATTAGATGGCAAATTCCTTGGCGTTCTCATTGACCGCAAGCTGAATTTCCGGAGACTGGTCAAGTCGTCGACTGCAGTTTCGGATAACAACTTCATTCACTGAGAATTTTATACATTCATACCCCTTTCGTTCGTATATGCGCTGGTTTGTATTCGCTGCTGTTCTCATCTGAATAAATACATATGGCACTTGATCATATAAATCTCTAATTTCAGCAGAATTAGTATTTATGTAAGAATCTACCTGTGGCATAGTAAAATTTTACTCGTAAATATAATCTTACAATGTTATTTTTTTAAATTTTAAATTTAATTGTAATATGATAGTGGCTTTACAGGATTCCTGCCCGAAACGCTGCGCGTGCTAGTGGCTTTACAAGACTGTAATTACCATATTTGTATCCTCACATTCCTTATGTACATTCTTGTATATGCATAAATAGATTACAAATATGCTATGTATGTATTCTTGTATAATTAGCGCTTCCATTAACAGTGCTTAGTGCACTGTTTGTATTACTGTGTTTGTTAACAAAGCGAACTCTTATCAGAGAAGGGAAGGGAAGAGAACTATCAGGGGGAAAGCGCCAAGCCATTAAGACCAGACATCCTTTCCCTTAAGACCAAGTCTAGTGCCCTTGCGGAGATACCAACTCTAATCTACAAAAACGCCTCCAGATCTTTAGCCCCTGCCATTACATTGCTCTACAACAAGTCACTTCAAGTCAAGTCAAGTAGTATTAAGTTCTAGATATTAATGTTTTTTCTGCCCGAAACGCATTGCGTAATAGTGGCTTTAGGCATTGTATGTACTAGCTCTATCTATATATTGATCCATTAATGTAACATCACTTGTATGTATGTACCTTACCTGAATAAACATATTTATTTATTTAAACATATTTATTTACTTGAACTCCAAACTTTTCCAGATATTCTAAAAAAAGCGAGAGTAACCCCAGTCCATAAATGTGGTGATCTCACTGATGTCAACAACTTCAGAACTATACCAATTCTGCCAAACTTGTCAAAAATATTTGAAAAACTGATCTACAAGCAGCTTTACTCTTATCTAGCGAAACACAATATACTAAGCTCTTGTCAATATGGCTTCAGACCCCCCAAAAGCACTAACGGTGCACTTATTAGTATGATTAACTTGATACATGCAGCTCTTGATAAAAATGCGTTCCCTGTTGGGATATTTGTGGACCTACGTAAGGCTTTTGACACTGTCAACCACCAAAACCTTCTTAGATTACATCATTATGGCGTCAGAGGTCACTCCCTGCAATACCTTCAGTCCTACCTTACTGACAGGCTCCAGTATGTTTCTGTGAATAATTCCATTTCTCCGACACTACCTATAAACATCGGTGTTCCTCAGGGCAGCATACTTGGCCCTCTCCTCTTTCTCATCTACATTAATGACCTTGCAAATGCCTCTCAACTCCTCAAACCAATCTTATTTGCTGATGACACAACTTTCATCTTCTCCAGTCCTGATTCTCTTGCTCTAAATGCCACTGTGAATACTAAACTAAATAAAGAACATCT